AAAGTGATGAAGAAAGTTATGTTTGTCATTCCAAATTCTGCAATTTCCAAAATTAAAGTGAAATCCATACATTTTACAGTCTGTGATATTGAGATCTCTATATCTTGAAAAGTAAAAGAGACCTTTTTCTAAAAAATAGCATGGTATATAGTACAAGTTAAGTACTACAAACTCGTCGAAAAACTGGAGAAGAGTACCCTCAAATTTGTTAACCTTCTAATCTGGGAAGTTACTAGAATAAACACTAATTTTATAGTGAAGGGAATCTCTCTTTTGGATAAAACGATAAAATTTGTTCTTTTCATTTCTTGCTATATCTGTCTCTATAGTATGCATGGAAAGAAGAAAACACCAAAGTTTGTTTCAAGAAGATACTGACTATGGATAAAAGCAGCCTTTTAACCATTTTTACTAGAATAAACGCGAATTTCATAGCGAAGGAATCTTTCTTTTGGATAAACGAATAAAATTTGTTCTTTTTTCTCCATTTCTTGCTATATTTCGCTCTATAGTGTGCATAGAAAGAAAAAAATATCAAGTCAAGTACAGTACAGAAAAGAATACATGTTCATTCTGTTATACGATAGTTCCATATTCTTTTTTTCAGCCATATTGAATAATTCTGTTCTCAATTTTCTCTCCAATCAAATTACCGGTGAATTTATTCACAGGTGAATATATTCACCGATGCGAATTTTGACGGCTTCCCTAGGGCCCCCCCCCCATCTAAGAAATTATCTCCGACATCGTACATTGGATCTTGACGAAACTTTCCATGAATGTTAGGCACAATGAGTTACGGGAATGAAAAAATTTTGCTCGAAATGCTCTAAATAATTCGTTTTCGTCGTCAAATAAAGACAGCCCATTAAAGAAAAAAAGCTTTTTGTTCTTCTACAAAATAAAAACCCGTTTTTAAGACAAAAAGAGTGATGTGATGGTGATAACGCTCAGATGTTTATTAAGTAGTTATTCATGGGTTGCCAGAGGCATCGTACAGATCAGGGGTAGTACGATCCGGGAGATGGCTGAAAAGGATAACAACTATCGCAATTATGATGTTTTCCTAAGAATGAGTTTGAGAAAAACAAATTACGAGAGTTTTTATTTTAACTGTTCGTAATCTTCAAAGTCTGTAACTTTTTGTTAAGAAATTAGTTCAGCCGTTTTCTGCTTTGTAATATAAAAAGTAGCAAAAAAATCTTGTGATAGGGAGTACCTGAATTAAGACAAAAATCCACAATTGTTAATGAGACAAAGGTGCGTGCGTGTGAATAAGCACAGATTTCAATACGTGTTCCCGTCTCATAACGGCTCTTCATTGACAAAAGTGGTATCCACTATAGTGGAAAAATCGGAGGTTGTATAAGAGAAAATACGACGATAAACATGTTTTAATTATGCTTAAAAAGTTAATCTCGGTTTAAACGTAGTGGAAGATGAACGCACATCTCATGGGTCAGGTCTGTGACATACACCTGGATAGAGCAAAAAACAGTACTGATACTGCTTATAATTTAATTCTACCTAAAACAGGCCTATTCAACGCAAATCCGTAGTCAAAAAGATCTAGTCATCGATAGAAAACGAGATTTTTTAGAGAACGAAAGAAGAAAATTAAAATAGACCAATAGTACGTTTTGTGCAGAATTTAATTCTCTATCCATCTATGTGACTCAGTTTTGTTTTGGTTGCTTTGTTTTGGTTCTATTTGACGAAAACAGATTTACAAACAAAGTGTAGACGCAGTTTAAAACGATCCTAGAGGGAACAGGGAACATCTTTTTTAAAAACCCAAAACGAGTAAAAGATAGAGCGTAAAAAGTGCTACAAAACTATCTAAAAATAGTTTTAGTAAACTTCTTTTAATTAGGCCGGAAGACCACAAAAGCTTTAATTACGCACTAACTGTAGACCTAGTTTTTCAGAATTGTTTTGCCTTTTATTCCTCAACAACTGAAAGAAAATCAGTCGGACTGTCATAGATAGATGCAGCGTGAAAAACTAAACAAGAATATCATCAACTAGTTCTCTGTTTCTCTTAGTTTTAGGGAGAATTTTAACATATACCTCAGAATGTACACCCAGTTTTTTTTGTGGACCCAATTTCTGCCTATATATTTTCAAGCTGATTTCGACGGAAGCTCAGTGTCCTAAATAAGGCTCTGGACTTTGAAAGAGCACAGACTAGACCGAGAGCGTTAAGCTGATGATCTATAACAATATTCCGCAATTTTTTAGACTCTCCGAACACGCAACCGCAGAAAAATCAGCTTTTTTATGCGGTTTTTCGAGAAGAAATGCGTATTTTGACATCTTTCGCGATTGTTTTTGGCTTACTTCGATTGCTGTGGGCACCATTAGATTATCCGAGCTCAGATCTATCTAATGATGTGTCATACCTGGACTGTCGACGCTCATTCGGCATAATTTCTCTTAGAAAGTTTTTTACTGAAAACCCGAAATTGATGCTCTGATATCTCGACCAGGACGAGTCGGGTAGCGCGAATATTTTTGCTACAGATTCACTGTATGATAAGGAATAAGATGTACGAATCAGATTTTCCCTGGGAGGACTTTCATTTTTTTTTATCAATTGTACAATACAGTTGCATTTCACTCATATACTTTAACGTAAGCAGGTGAAATCACACGAGGAAAGAATGAAGAAAAAGAGCTGAGGAAAGAAGGCTGTAAAAGGTATCGCTATTTACATGTGTCAGTACAGATATGACGAATACAAAATCATTATTTTAACCTTCTCTTCAAGACCGCGAGTTATACTTATTAGTCTAAGATTTCATTCTCAATTCTAGTTTTTCTACACACATAAAAACCACACCCAGATTCATCGGAAGTGAGTGCTGCACACACAGCGAAGGTGTCTCAACTGTTGAGCATGCAAATATTTAAATCTTGAATATATGTGCCACGCTACCGATTATAACAATCAAGATTTAAAACATTTGCACGGACAACAATGAAGATATGTATCGATCATGTTCAGTATCTTAGCAACGTTCATCCGTCGATAAAATTTTCCTTTTTGGCTATTTCAGCTGCACCTTTCGAAGTTTCAACTCAAACAAGTTGGAAGTGAACCTTATTTATAAAAGATTTTCCTGAAAATCATCCAAAATCCAACGGAAATGTACACACACAATTTGATATGATTTATAGATCAATTTCAAAACCATCGATTACAGGCGAAATAATATTATATAATATAGAACCACAAAATTACCCACTGATGATGCAAGCAGATATATTGAGGAAGAACATTGACGAGGAGTTACTCGTGTAAACGTAAGCTTATTAAATATATTACCAAATGTCCCAAAAATGATAACTGGCATTGGAATAGCACGATGTAAATACAGTAAAACTGTGTTAAGACTAGCCATTTCTTATTTTGCACTCAAAAATGAAAATATTGCTTGTTCATTAAAGAGTATCAAAAAATAGCAGGTCTAGAAGCAGAGATCTGAATACCGGTTAGACTTATTGAAAGATTATATACTAATTTAATTAATAGCAAAAACTGTGTGGAAAACGGATATAGAGTTTTTAGAATAATTACCAGCGAGAACAATAAACAATGGATGATATCAGAGCGAATGAAAATTTTCATATCCTTTCAACATGCTTTTTACCGTCCTTTCGCCTCTAGGAACCTAGAAGCGACAAACGTCATTGTGCAATAAACGATTATTTTATTTTTAATTATGCTGAAAGCTGTTTTTCTCATAGTTTTTACTATTAATTAAATTAGTATATAATCCATAGGAGTTACACTCATTTAAGTTTTCCTTTTTTGTAACAGCCTAGACACATTCGTGTTCAAATAAAAAACCTATTGATTGATTGATGTCAATAAATCTAACCAATATTCAGATCTCTGCTTCTAGACCTGCTATTTTTTTGATACTGTTTAATCAACAAGCAATATTTTCATTTTTGAATACAAAATAAGAAATGGCTAGTCTTAACACAGTTTTACAATATTTACATCGTGCTATTCCAATACCAATTATCATTTTTGGAACATTTGGTAATACATTTAATATACTTATATTTACACGAGTAACTCTTCGCCGATATTCTTGTTCAATATATCTGCTTACATCATCTGTGAGTAATTTTGTTGTTCTATATTGTGCAGTATTATTTCGCGTTTTAATCGATGGTTTTGAAATTGATCCAACAATCGTATCAAATTCTGTGTGTAAATTAGTATCATACATTCAATACACATTCCCTCTAATATCATCAATGTTTATGGTCCTCGCTTGTATTGATAGATTTGCTGCATCATCATCTCAAGCTCGATGGAGAAAGTTTAGTCAGAAAAAAGTAACTCTGTACACAATACCTTTAAATATTATAATTTGTTTTATATTCTATATTCATGTTCCCATTTATTTCGAAGTAATTCGTATACCAATTAGTGAAACTGATTTTATGGAATTTTGCTACTGTCAAGGTGAATACAATCAATTTTTTATTGTCTACCATATGATTCTTTACTCGAGTTTTCAGCCTTTACTTATGACCGTGTTTGGCCTTCTTACATTGAGAAATGTTCAACGTCATCGTCGACAAATCAATTCATCTCTTACTCCTTCAACGAGGATTGAACGCCGTCATCTCCAACGTGATAGACAAATGATTCGTTTATTACTCTTTCAAGTGCTCGTTCATGTTATTCTCTTAATACCTGGATCAATTATAATTTCTTATCAGACATTTATACCACCTTCACCTATCATAAGTTTTATAACAGGATGTTCAATATTTTTTATTTATTTAAGTTTTATTCAAGGATTTTATGTAAACACACTCTCGGCTAAAACATATCGTTCAGAATTTTATAAAATATTAAGTTTAATTGAAAGACGTCTATTTAACAGTAATATAATTGAGCGCCAGTTGATGGAAGGAGGAGGATTAATGCAAGAAACGACAAGAGTAACGCGACGAGCAAAAAAAAATGAACGATGGTAAACATATTGTAAATAAGTTTGTCTATTTATTTCAGTGAAATGTAACTCTTGAGAAAAAGAATAATACATTGTTATATAAATGTTATATGAATTGATACATAATAGTGCATGAGAATATTTCAATTATTTAGTTTAGAACATAAACTATTTACATCCATTTATGGTAAAACGGGTTATATTGGAATAATATTATCATCAGCATGTCTATTTTATGCAATAAAGAAAAATAATTATCATGTATATTCACATAGATTTATCTGATTCATTCTATTGCCGGTACATGATATAGCGAGTACAATTATAAATACAATGCATTTAAAAAAGATGAAAAACTATCTTTATCTGTATTAGCTCTTCAACAGAAACCTTTATTAACCATACGGTATGGTATTTGTATCTCCATATTATCTTCTCTTCTTTTCTTCACTTTGTTTTACAATAATAAGAGCAAGAGCAACTAAAATGTTTTATGATTAGTAGAACATGTTTCCTGAGACTAATAGGCATATTACATGAGAAACCTAACACAATAGGGGTACATCTGACTCGTTGGCAACTTGGTACTTAGGGATTTCACACCATGTCGAACGGAAAGTTTCGTCCAAAACCGCTGAAAGTACGGTTTCTCGAAAACTGTGGTTTTTAGCCTACCTGTACCGAAAACAATTTTTTTACAAAAATCCTTTGCATTTGAAACTTTTTAGAACAGCCGGCCATCGTATTCAGGACACAACACGCTGTATTCTGAAAAAAAATCAAGCCTCCCACTCCAAGTTTGAATTTTTAAACTTAATTTTAAATTTTAAAATTTGAACTTTTTTAAACTTTTGAATAACTAAACACTGGGAAGTTATGGATACCTCGACCAAACGGCATTCGATCGATAATAAAAAACTAACAGAAGTTTGAAATTGAAGACTATTTGACGAGGTTTCGGTATTAGACGATCCTGATTTTCGGTAGGGTTTTCTACAAATCCCTGCACGAAAAAAATGAAAAAAAATTTCTTTTTTGTTTCAAAGTGATTAATAATTCCTTTTATTTACTTTGGTTTTATATTCTTCACTTTATTTTCAACTAAATTTGCGATTGTTTGAATGAAAATATCTGATTTTACAATTGATGTACATAAATTATTGATGAATTCAGACGATAATAGCTTTTTATATATTTGCTTTGCAAATGATTCTGTTGATGGAAATTCTTTAATTGCTGTTTGGAGATCACTGGAAGAGGTTAACGGGGTTGATTTATTCAAACTAACAGTTACAATATTTGCTCGTTTACTCTCATGACTCATTTTTTAAAATTACAAAATTACTAGGCTGTATATATGTCTCCTCCAATCTTGCAAAGTAGAGGGACTTTCAGTTTATACTCCAAAGCCAGGCGAATACTAGTTAATTTGGACCCCTCCCCCCGCTTACACGCCCTTAAAAAGTACCCTTATACGATCTTAAAATGACCTTTACGCGATCTGAAAACTTTTACGCGATTGACCATGATACCTTACGCGATCTTGAATCGTGTTTTACACAATCTTAAAGTGACCATTACGCTATCTTGAAGTTATGCACACTCGGATTGGACTGGACTCAAAAATTTGAGTCCATACGGAGCTCTGGTATCTATCATCGAGGTATTTCTGTAGTTAATCCAGCTGGAGGATATTTTGATGAGCAGAAGACAAGAACGTATACGTGTGATACATTCCAACGAATATTTTCTGTCGGCAAAGGTATTGTAGCAAGTGCTGTGGCACTGTGTGTAGAAAATAAATGATTAAAGTACAGTGATCCGGTAGTGAAATATTGGCCAGAATTCGGTCAGAATGGCAAAGAAGATGTAATTGTGGCTGATTTGATGTCGCACAGAACTGGTTTAGTAACTGTTGACGAATGTACTTCAGTGGAGACGAGGTTAGATTTTCAGAAGATGACAGAACTCATAGCAAAGCAGAACCACTGTGGCCACCGGGTACAGTTCATGGTTATCATGCTGTGACGTTTGCTTGGTTATGGTATATTTCTAAACTACGAAGTCGTTTTCTGTGTACTGTGCCTGAAGGGAGGGCAATTGCCGACGTAAAAAGTTTTGAAGGGACGCCGCTGTAAATGACTTATGATTTCCCACCTTTACAAAATTTTTACAAAACAATCGCTGTTCGGATCGAACTTGGTGGCGCAATGTCGTAAAATATTCCGCAGCTTTCGCTGTATCAACTTTTGCAACTGGGAGTGGACGCCTATTGGAAGGCCGCATAACTACAAATTTTTTTTCTCCGCTGCCATGTTTCTCCATTTTTTGTGGACAGCCGGCTAACAGCAGTATTATGACTGTTTTATTAAATGTGGTTTCCTGCTGTCTCATCAACCACACAATTTCCGAATTTTTACATAACTGGCGCACTCACCCTACATGTCGATCCGCAACATCGTTCCGTACAACAATTTGTTGACGATGAAATTATAAAACCATTGGGATCAGATGAATTTTACTTTGGCCCGGCACCATTTAATCGTGAAAATGATATTTCATCAGTAATTAAACTATTGCCACCTGATGTTAAATACGTTCCCTACACTAAGGAATACTCTAACATGCCGTTAGAAAATCCATCGTTGTTTTTTGAGAAAGATTTTATTGGTTCCAATGGTTTAACAAATGCTCAGGGATTGGCACGTATCTACAGCTCCTTAATAACGGATCTCAGCTTTGGCAGCGGCGAGTGGAAAAAACGTCTGTTAAGTGAAGCTACGGTTGCAGAAGCAAAAAACAATACGCCTCAACATGAATTGGATAAGGTACTTAATATAACGGGGGGAACAGAGTTTTCACATGGTGGTTATAATCTTATAAGTCATTTTGATACGGAGAAAATCAAGTTTTCTCAAGACCTAAGCCCCAAAGTTCCGAAAATTGACCAGTTTCAGTTTTTCATGAATATTTTAAGCAACCAATAGCCAGAGCTGGAAATGACCAAAACACAGAAAAGGCTGTAAATAATTTGTTTTCGTCGTCAAACTATTTCTAATCGATTTTTCAGCCAAGATTAAGTGTAGGCAACAATAAACAGTATCTCAGTATCTAAACAATATCTCATATTCAAGAAAATTTTAGACTCAAAATAGTGGTCAGGATAATGGACTTTCGCAAAGTATTATTATTATTTAAAAAGACATGATCGTTGTCACTCATTCTGGGTAAGTAGCCAATCTATATTCAAAAGATAGCGCACGTCAAGTATGATTGAATACAAGTATGTTTAAATCTTGAAATTAGGCACAAATGGTATTTTAGATCAAATCATTGCTTGAGTGAAATGCAACTTTTTCTAGAATTGATATCGGTAATATAGCCATTTTCCTGCCATGACGAAAAAGTAAAACACTTTTCAAAAACATACTATTGGATAGCCCTTGAAATTCTCAACAAAGTAAGCTGGTCAGAATATCCAAACACATGGGACTAGTCACTAAAGATAAGTGAAAGAAGGATGTTATCTAAGCAATACAGTGTGTCATAATAACAAGAACTCCTTTCTTTTTATTTTTCAGTAGAAGTTGGAACAAATCTGAATACTGTTCTGTATAGCCCGAAGATTTTTGTATTAGACGAGGTGCATATCATCGCCTCATGAGTTGATAATAGGGTTTCTGGACAACCTGAAGGCTAGAAAACCCACTCCTTGATATTTGGTCGGCAAAATTTTCGAACCATATAGGCCGATAGAGCAAAGAATTCTGAGGAGAATAAGACATCTTCCAACTTATATATACATAACCAACTTTTCTTTTCGACTGTTCTCTCTTTTGAAGGCAGCGGTCTAAAAGAGAAAGGCTTGCCGTTTTCTCAACTCAGCAGTCAAAGATACTTTTTGCGCACTGTCCTGACAATCTTGTCTGAAAGAAATTGTCTGATAATCTCAAAAACACAGAATACATAGACAGTCGACGCTCCTGACCAACGTGGCAACGTTCGTTTTCCTACAAAAAGTAAAGTAACTTTGACTGCTAAGTTGAGAAAACGGCAAGCTTTTCTTTTTCAGACAGACGAAACCTTTTGGAACCTTATAAGTCATTTTGGTACGAAGAAAATCAAGTTTTCTCAAGATCTAAGCCCCTAAATCCCGAAAATTGCCCAATTTCAGCTTTTCATGTATAAAACCGTCAGTTTTTGATCTTTTTGAATGACGTTTCATTCGAAAGAGCGCACAAAATTGAGCAAAATTTGATATTTAAAAATATTTTAAAGTTAAAACAGTAGTCGCAAAAAATATTTTTCTAACATTCTGGTTTTTGTGGAAAATCCTGATTTGATCTTTTTTTTATTTTTGAATCCTTATCCTAATTTTTGACTGAGTTGTAAGCTTTTTAAAAATGACCAATTAAGTTTTTTGCTAAATTTTTATCTTAATTAATTTACAACTCCATGAATACTTATTGGCTCTCAGAAAACATTCATGATATATGCAGTCAAGTGTTCTCTACGATCTGAGAAGTTTAAACCGTACCCTTTTGGGAAGTCCATTTTTGGACAAAATAATGCCTTCGGACACATTTTTGATATAAAATTCAGATTTAACACATTGTAGGGCTTCAGACACTATTTCAGACCTGCGATTCAGGTTCGATTTTTATCCTTTTAATGCGTTCACACATATTAGCGGCACGAAATTGTCTACTTTAATGCGTTCGAATGCCTTATTGTGACGCATGGATCAACTTATGAGAACTTCTTAATAGATTGAAAGGACCTGAGAAGGTCCAAAATTTCTTCCTGGGAAGTCCTTAGAACTTATTCTCGCTTGTCCTAGAATAGCTTGCTGTTCTTCCTCTAATATATTATCAGCTGTTTCTCTCTTCTCTTTTTCAGCAATTTAACTGTACTTCTTTTTTGATCAAATTGTCACAACATTTAATGAGCATAGCTCGATTTGTTGTTTTAATAAACCTAGTTTAAATCAAGAAATTTAAAAACACAAGCATAAAAAATAATAAAATAATCATACAATATAAATTAAATATTAGGAGTATGAATCCTACAGCTTGTTAGCTTACATTTATAGATCAATCTTAAATTTGAAAATTTACAATAATATCCTACTCTAAACTACCTTACCCACGAAAAAGATACATGCTAAACACTAGAAAAAATATAACATTAAACTTCATTTCTTCAAAATCATACTATAAAGTTTACATTATAAATAAAATCGAATCGCCATACTTTCTTTTACTAACAAACGGTAGCGTTTATTAAGGGAAGCCGTCAAAATTCACCGGTAATTTGATTGGAGAGAAAATTGAGAACAGAATTATTCAATATGGCTGAAAAAAAGAATATGGAACTATCGTATAACAGAATGAACATGTATTCTTTTCTGTACTGTACTTGACTT